TTTGTTCACCGGTTTTTTCAAGTGCGACAGTGAGGGACATTCTGTTGGATTTTCACTGGTACAGTAACGATTGTGGTGATGTTGAAACCTCAGCTAAGACTAATGGAGACAATGGTCTAGAACAGAGATATTTGAGGCTGATGCCAGTAATACTGAGAAATCAGCTCTACAATTCTTTATTTACTAACACTCAATTTAATATGTGACACATTCCTAGAAAGGTTTTATACCTAACAATCGTCATGAATTTCGAAATTATATTGCTTAGATGCTAACACACATGCAAATTTAAAACATTTTGTATTTCATATGATAAAGCTAATCATGATTCACAATACATACAGATACACACTCAACAGAATTACAATTCTCATACACCACAACTTAACATATTATCAAACTTCACACTTACAAAAATGTAACCTTATCACCAGATGATGAAGATAATATACGAGACCTCAACCAGATTCATAATCCTCACACACAGTAAGTTCACAGATCAACAATTTTGCAGTTATTTGTATGTATACCTTTAATCATCTTGAAATTTACAATTCTTGACAGATCCTGAGATTACTAATTGTGACAACAAAGAATTCAAAGTAGAAAGTTACAAATTCATTAAAAAGTACCAGACACTGGATTATTATCACAAAAAATATATAAGCAGAATAGAACGCACATTACTTATATACTTCATCGTTATAAAATATCAAAGAAACTCTGAAAACAAGTATGTTCTAGAAAAAAAAAACGTCCATTACAGTATGTGCACCACTAATGGTAACTGTCACAATGATTTTGAAGGACAGAGGTATAAAGGACATTTGCACGAGTACAAACCACACAGGGACAGACTGCTTTTTTTTTTTTTTAAATCTTCAATATACGAGAAGTCATTGCTTAAAGTATCCTAGTTTGTATTGAACAGTATACATAAGAAAAAGCATTATTTTATGACACAGAATTGCCCCTTTGCAATACCCAAAGTATGTGTCATGACAATTTAGCAGTAACCCGCGTGTGCAACAGCTCGTACAAGATGGCCACAACACTGCTATATTGCTTTTTGGAAGAGCAACAAGGTTTTATTCATTTTTTGTGGACAGAGGGTTTTAAACTGTCTGAAATGTATCAAAGAATAAAGCCTAAATATGGAGTCAGTAGTTTGGCAACTGGGACTGTGAAACAGCAGCAATCCGTGAGAACAGATGAGCGACTACTGATTAAATTGCTGTAAAATTCCACATGAGTCACAGTGCTGCATACAATACTGTTTCGACGACTCTGGGTAAAGAGTTTAGCAAATGAGTTCCAAGGCTAATAAACAGAAGCAAACTAGGCAGATGATTTGTCTGGAGCATTTGGACCATTATGCCCACGAATGAGATGCTTTTCTCTGGTGAACTGTGATAGGTGATAAGTCCTATTGAACAGTTATGAACCAGAAAGTAAAAGACAATCGACACAGAGGAAGCACCCAGCGTCACCGCCAATGATTCGAGACACAGGCTTCAGCTGGGAAGGTTATGCTAACCATCTTTCGGGATATCAATGACTCTATATTGATGCATTTCCAGGAAAGGGGTGAAACTGTGACCAGTCTCATTACAGTGACAAGTTAGCAAACAAGCTGAAGCCCGCCATCTGATCAAAACACCAGGATCTTGTCTCAAAAGAGGTATTGCTGCTGCATGACAACACCCGTCCCCACATGGCTGCACATACAGTGGATACACTGCAGATTTTGCGGTTTGAAGTAATGAAACATCCAGCATACAGCCCATACTTGGCACCATCAGACTTTCATTTGTTTAGCCTATTTAAAGAACATGTGCAGGGTTAGATATTTGCAGATGACAATGACATAATATCGGTGGTGCAAACTTGGTTACTGGCTACACCAAAAAGCTTCTACCTGGCGCGCATCCACAATCCTGTGGATCGATGGACTACACGTTCTGTAAGGCAGACAAGACTATATCCAGAAACTGGTAATAGAACAATTTTGTTCCAGCCGGTTGTAGACAACTTATTCGTACAAATCTCTTTATTACTTCGAACAATGTGTGGGATTTGTTTGTGGTCCATCAACCACTCATTCCTTTAGGTCAATAATATGAGGAAGATTGTATAGTGATGATATTCAAAGACAAAACAAAACCGTGAGGAATAAATGGGAGTCAAAGTTCAGATTTGACTTGATTCAAGAACCGACATCACAGCACTTGGGGCATTCCCATAAGCGCTCCGTCCTCATCTTCAGCAGCCAGCGAAGAGTTCTGATACTAATGGTGCCAGTAGCATTCTGATTAAACGTTCGTCTTGCCTCTCCTCTGAGCCTTGAGCATCTGCCAGAACAATCTCCCCACACTGTGGTGATCAATCTGCTCCCCCGAACTGTAGAAGATCTCCCACAAGGCACTAAAAACATTTGCCTTATCATGCATCAGTATTCCACCAAGCTGTGCAGAGCCAGCCAGTCTGTCCGCCTGTTCATTTCCCAACACACCGGCATGCCCTGGTTAAAAAATCCAGAAAATACTCCTCTCGTGTCTTATGCAGCCAGGCATGCCACTCTGCATGAAGCATGCCTGTCCTGATCTTCCTCAGCATGCTTTCTAAGTTAGTTACAATCACAATGTGTGTGTGTGTCGTGTTCTCTAGACAGCGAAAAGCTGCAGTGACTGCTTCCGCCTCCATTCTTAAGCTGGATGTTGTGGTATCATATGCTAGGCTCTCCTGCACCAAATGTCGACCATTAACTTTTGCTAAGAAACCCCAAGAACTTCTTTTGCCTCTTGACACTGAACTGTCTGTGTAAATGATCAAATCTTCTGAGCAAGCATTATCTTTAATTAATTGCTGAATTTCCACCTCTGTGGCACCTGCTGGCCAGTCTCTGCATTCCCGACTCAGTGTAATTATGACCCTTTACAAGTCTGACTGTTCAGGTGGCACTTTGACCTACTCCTCTCCTCGCCTAATGTTCTCAAGGATGCAAACCTGTCTGATTGTGTCCCCTGCCTGAGCCATCCATGACTTCCCACTTATCAACCGCTGACACTTAACTGCACCCAGAGCTTCCTGCAAAGGGGGGTCTGTGCCTGCAGCTACCAAAGTTCATAAATAACAGCAACAACACACCTTCAAAAAGTTTTAAAAAAAAATTTTTGTATCCAAAAACCATGAGTTATTAACCCTTTGGCCGGGCACTATGGATATCGCAACCCTTCGGCTTTGATTCCATGATACATAATGTAAATCTGGGGGAAATGTGGCTTTTCTGCCTACCCCCGGGCGTGAACCCGTACCACAAGGAGTTCGTCCCCCGGTTACCGCACAGTCTGGCTTAGCCAACTGTGCTAGCAAGCCGGGCAAGAGTTACATATATACATCAAGTCATGGCATCTGCTATTTTACACTTTAGTTCATTGTAAACATATACATTTTGTATGTGCACACACAGCATCCTAGTCAGATGCTGTACTACTCTGAAACGCTGGAAGAGTAATTCCTCACTATGAAGGTAGACAACTACGGCCAATACTTTTACAGCTCAGGAGTATAACTGATCTGAATGTGTTACTTCCCTGCTTAGACGGAACAAAGTCAAGTATGACTGATCTAACTGCTACTTCCCTGCTTAGACAGAACAAAGTCATAACCTGTCCCCAAATATTTGAGACGTTCATGAGAGCACAACCCATTAGGCAGGGTAAAGAAAATAAAACATCATGATAATTGATCACTAGTAAATTGTTATACTGATACTTTCATCGTAAGAAAAAACATGTTTTAGTTGTTTAGTTGTGATTCATCTAGAAGTCTATGAGTTTTAATTCCTAATCTCAGTCAAAGCAATGTTTTTCCACTGTAATCCTAAAGGCTATGCTTTGCCATTCAGGTCATCTCGGCTAGCTGAAATAGGGGAAGTCTCTAAAGGAATGAGGTTGGTGTAGACATTTCTCTTCTAGTCTGACACCACGGTACCACACAAACACGCTACACATTGTTTTAATTCTCAGGCATATTTTTCAAGTATTAAATTAAACATCATTCATGGTCTCAAGATATGTAAAGTTTATTGTTTTACTGAATTATTTTCCAGTGATACTTTGCTTATACATATTGAATATGTGCGCTCCTGGTATAATGTTACCTTGCCAATTTTCTTGGTCTGAATAATTTTTCTCTTGCCGCTGGGAAATGGTTGATCTTGATTTTCATTATACTGTATATTAATGGGCCATTTCTAGATTATCCATAGTCAGTCACAATACCACCACATTGTATTCACATTCCTATACAGAAATGTTACTGAATAGTTGACATATGCTAATTGCTTCGTCAAACCTCAGAAATAGACATATACAACTTTTACTACACTGAAATGTATTTAGAATAGAAGTAAAAACCTATCTTCATTATGATTTTTATGTTAGTATTTTCAGAAATAAAACAGAACATTCATTCTTGAAAATGGAAGTAAATACCAGTCCCAACTAATATTTTCCAGTTTTGCTGATAAAACAGGTTGAGATTATTAACTCATTAACTACTGAATTCTATGAATAGTTGCAGCAGGGAGTGTGTACAGGAATCTGGGCAGTTTTCCACATGTAAGGGAAAAACTGAAGAACTTGTAATCAGACTGCAACTGGCACCATCAATATTCAAATTCTTTGCTGGCTACCAAAGAAGAGGACAGAGCATATGATGGAATGCCATGAGTAAAGTGATGTCAATTCTTGATTCATTCTTCCATAAATATATGCAGATGTAATTTATTAACCAGTGGTGTGTCTATAATGCTGTCTGATGTTTACAAAAACATCAACATTTTTTTTTTTTTACAATGTTTATAAATATGCATAACTTACAGTTTACTTGTATTAGTTTTCATCTTGTTTGGTACAAACAGAAGTTATCTCTAGTCAATGAGTTAAAATCTATGCAGCTGCAGAAAATAATTCTCCACGATCAACAGAAGTTTGTAATCAAAACCCAAGCACATGTCTATGGAAAATTCCACCATGACCTACAACTTCTTTGGATATGGTTGCCAGAGTTTCAAAGTTTTTCTGAGCCCCACTGTCTGTAGCTTGAAGCAGGTTGTTTCTGATGCGTTCGACAGCCTAGTAAACAGACAACATCAAGGTCATTTGTGAACATTAAATGGCAAGTCTATTGAATGAGTCCAAGTTTAAGACAAAACTAAACGGGGGAGGGGGGGGGGGGGGGGGGGGGGGGGGGGCATTTTCCATACTTTCAGATATACTGGACTTCTTCTTCTTCTTCTTCTTCTATTCCACCTTTTACCTCATCGAAGTGTCAGGGGGAGATGTAATGTTCGTTGATGAGCTCTGTCAAGAGCACTATTAAGACTGATGTTCATTTCTGTAAGGCTGTTCTTAATGCCATCACTCCATATTTTTCTAGGTCTTCCCCTCGCTCTAAACGTTGTAACTTTTAGTGTGGCTCGCTGTGGCAGATAGTACCAGGGCATTTTTGTTAGGTGTCCAAACCACTTCATTTGTTGTTCTTTGATGACCTGTAAGACTGGCTTTATTCCTAGCATTCGTCTGATTTCATGATTTCGTATTCTGTCTTTCCTTGAAACTCCTGCAGCTCTTCTAAGGCATTTCATCTCTGTTGTCAAAATTTTACATTCATTGAAGGATGTAAGTGTCCGCGTTTGGCATTGATAGCATAGTGCTGGCCAAAAAATAATTCTGATAAGATTCACTTTAGTACTCCGAGGTATCTGCTTGTGTGTCAACAGGGGAGATAGTTGACCCATTACTTGATTAGCTTTGGCACATATGGAGCTAATTTCTCTGTCCAGTTTTCCATCGGATGTAAAAATTGCTCCCCAATACTTAAATTGCTCTGTTTGTCTCAGGGTGTTGTTTTCTAATTTAATTTCTAAATTGTCTTTTAGTCTTCCTATCATCATTGTCTCTGTCTTCGTAGTGTTTATTTTCATATTATATTCCTCCCCTTTGTTACTAATTTGATTTAGGTGGTTCTGTAGGCATTCCGTATTTTCTGCTATAAGTACCTGGTCATCGGCAAAGAGTAATTCTGTAATATGTTCTTCATGATTAAAGTTTGTTTGACTACATTTGGTATTCATGTATGTTATAAAAAGAAGCGGTGATAGTACACAGCCCTGACGCACACGAGAGTTCACTATAAAAGTTCTGGACAACCCTGCCTTTGATCTTATGCAGCATTTACCACATGTGTACAGGCTTTTGCAAATATTAATGAGATGATTGCTGATTACTTTTTTCCCCATACATTCCCACAACATATTCCTGTCGACTATATCAAAGGCTTTTTCTTGGTCTATGAATGTCAACAAACATGTCTTAACATGTTCTAATGCCCTCTCTGATAGCTGAAATTTTCAATTTCAATAAACTGGACAAATGGTGGTAAACCCCTAGAATTTCACAAATGTCAGACATGCTGAGCTGAGTCAATGGTGATAATCCAACATTATTTTACAAAATAATCAACACTCTATGGGAGTGAGGGTAAAATAGCACTTTGGGTGTCTTCACTTTCTGCAACATTTTAGGTACTCATTTTGGGCTGGATCCTCATCAGAGTACAGTTCAATTTTCTTTAAAATTTGTCTCACGGAGTATTCACGTAAACCATGTAGTTCAGGTAAATAAAAGAATATGTACTAGGTTGTTAAAATATATATTCTGTAGGCAACATCATCTGCTAACAGATTTTACTTATATATCCCAGATGAACTTAAGTATCGGCATATCTGCAAATAGAAATACCTTCTATTTCTTCTTCTATTGTTGTCTCACTGATACCAGGCTGTAGCCCTCCTCCCCAGATGTTCTGCTGTAAAAATTCTCATTGGCAGTCTGGCTGCATTCTCACTAGAGGGCTAAACCATTTCTTTCTTTGTCTTTCAATATAATCCAGACATGGTCTTATCCCAACTTTCTCTCTAAAGCTGGTATTTGTAACCCTGTCTCGTCTAGCATTGTTAGTAACCTTGTGGAGATAGCACATTTCACATACAGTTAATTTATTTTCTAGTGCCCTATCCTGCAAATTAATCCTGAATAGCTATAACTCTATTGGGCTTGCATTAACAGGATTAACATGATAACTCTGTTTGCCAAAAATCATAGAAAAATGACTGAAATCCAGATTTACATATCCCAGAAGAAAAGATGAGAGTAATAAAAATCTGAGCAGATGCCAGTTGGAGGGGAGGAAGCCAGTCACACTGATATTTTTGTGCAGTGTCATATCTGAAGAAAAAAACTTCCTAACTGTCTTCACAACTATAAAATAATGATTATAAAATCCGTGATCAAGAGGAGAAAACCCAAATGATGATACCAATAATGATACCAATAATTTAGGGCTCTAAGTATTGACCACTCAAAACTGTTCTTTCAATTAAAGGTAATAGAACTATAAACTAAGATGCTTGTGGTTTCAGGAAAGTCAGTGAAATATATGGTTGAATTCTTCATCATTTCACAATAAAAGAAATAAATATCTCTCCAGTGTCAAGTGTGCACAACAACAGATCAAGTTTGTTTTCCTCACAAGTAATTTTACCAGTACTGGAAAAAAAACTGACAATGGAAACTTTTAAAAATTTATATCAACTCTTTTGAGTCCCAAGGAACGCATCATGTGCTCACAAGTAACTACCCAGAGGCACAAACAGCATGTGGCATGTACAGGTTTTTAATTTACCACTGAAGAGTATAAAAATGCAGATCGGACAATTTAAACTTTCTTTCCAGTTCTTTGTGCTCAATAACACATGTACTGACCATTAGGTTTATTTCAAAACAAAATTCAAAACCTTAAAAATAGTATGTTTGTGAGCTTTACCAAGTTATGAGTACAGAGCATTCTTCTACATGCATGCCAACATGATTTATGACTTTAGAAGCATCAAATTTAAATAATTTCTTCACTGTTCGTTTCAAGATCATTTTCATCAGACATGACCATAAGTGCTATGATCTCTTTCTCTTCCTAAGTATGTCTCTAAGTGTGTTTAGGCTAACAATTCCCACTGAGTATGTCTCTTTATGTGTGTTTAGGCTAACAATTCCCACTGAGTATGTCTCTTTATGTGTGTTTAGGCTAACAATTCCCACTGAGTATGTCTCTTTATGTGTGTTTAGGCTAACAATTCCCACTGAGTATGTCTCCATGTGTGTTTAGGCTAACAATTCCCACTGAGTATGTCTCCATGTGTGTTTAGGCTAACAATTCCCACTGAGTATGTCTCCATGTGTGTTTAGGCTAACAATTCCCACTGAGTATGTCTCTTAATGTGTGTTTAGGCTAACAATTCCCACTGAGTATGTCTCCATGTGTGTTTAGGCTAACAATTCCCACTGAGTATGTCTCCATGTGTGTTTAGGCTAACAATTCCCACTGAGTATGTCTCCATGTGTGTTTAGGCTAACAATTCCCACTGAGTATGTCTCTTTATGTGTGTTTAGGCTAACAATTCCCACTGAGTATGTCTCCATGTGTGTTTAGGCTAACAATTCCCACTGAGTATGTCTCCATGTGTGTTTAGGCTAACAATTCCCACTGAGTATGTCTCTTTATGTGTGTTTAGGCTAACAATTCCCACTGAGTATGTCTCTATGTGTGTTTAGGCTAACAATTCCCACTGAGTATGTCTCTTTATGTGTGTTTAGGCTAACAATTCCCACTGAGTATGTCTCTATGTGTGTTTAGGCTAACAATTCCCACTGAGTATGTCTAGATGTGTGTTTAGGCTAATAATTCCCACTGAGTATGTCTCCATGTGTGTTTAGGCTAACAATTCCCACTGAGTATGTCTCCATGTGTGTTTAGGCTAACAATTCCCACTGAGTATGTCTCCATGTGTGTTTAGGCTAACAATTCCCACTGAGTATGTCTCCATGTGTGTTTAGGCTAACAATTCCCACTGAGTATGTCTCTATGTGTGTTTAGGCTAACAATTCCCACTGAGTATGTCTCCATGTGTGTTTAGGCTAACAATTCCCACTGAGTATGTCTCCATGTGTGTTTAGGCTAACAATTCCCACTGAGTATGTCTCCATGTGTGTTTAGGCTAACAATTCCCACTGAGTATGTCTCCATGGGTATTTAGGCTAACAATTCCCACTGAGTATGTCTCCATGTGTGTTTAGGCTAACAATTCCCACTGAGTATGTCTCCATGTGTGTTTAGGCTAACAATTCCCACTGAGTATGTCTCCATGTGTGTTTAGGCTAACAATTCACACTGAGTATGTCTCCATGTGTGTTTAGGCTAACAATTCCCACTGAGTATGTCTCCATGTGTGTTTAGGCTAACAATTCCCACTGAGTATGTCTCCATGTGTGTTTAGGCTAACAATTCCCACTGAGTATGTCTCCATGTGTGTTTAGGCTAACAATTCCCACTGAGTATGTCTCTTTATGTGTGTTTAGGCTAACAATTCCCACTGAGTATGTCTCCATGTGTGTTTAGGCTAAACAATTCCCACTGAATTCCCATGTGAGTATGTCTCCACTGTATGTGTGTGTTTAGGCTAACAATTCCCACTGAGTATGTCTCCATGTGTGTTTAGGCTAACAATTCCCACTGAGTATGTCTCCATGTGTGTTTAGGCTAACAATTCCCACTGAGTATGTCTCCATGTGTGTTTAGGCTAACAATTCCCCACTGAGTATGTCTCCAGTGTGTTTAGGCTAACAATTCCCACTGAGTATGTCTCCATGTGTGTTTAGGCTAACAATTCCCACTGAGTATGTCTCCATGTGTGTTTAGGCTAACAATTCCCACTGAGTATGTCTCCATGTGTGTTTTAGGCTAACAATTCCCACTGAGTATGTCTCCATGTGTGTTTAGGCTAACAATTCCCACTGAGTATGTCTCCATGTGTGTTTAGGCTAACAATTCCCACTGAGTATGTCTCCATGTGTGTTTAGGCTAACAATTCCCACTGAGTATGTCTCCATGTGTGTTTAGCTAACAATTCCCACTGAGTATGTCTCCATGTGTGTTTAGGCTAACAATTCCCATTCTGTTCAGGCTGATGCAACGACAGATTTTTAAAAAAAAACACTAGTTAATCAGATATGTCTGAAGTTAGATGGAGACAGTAGCGAAATAGACTTGTTTCATTTATAGAGTCATACTTTGATGAGCGATAGCTCTAACTTGCACCTCATGCAAAGCATACAATGATAACAACGTCAGCTGGTAAAAAAAGAATAATTAGGGGGAGAAAAGCTATTTTCGTCAGTTTCAGTTAGTTGTAACGCTATTCTCTTTATTATTTAGGGACTTAGCTACACAATTATAGACAAATTGAGTGTTATATAAAGTTTGTTTTGTGTGAAGATACTGTTTTGGAAAGGCATTTTTCTTTACTGATAATCTGTGATGACGTTCTAAAAGCTTCTCTTAAATTAGATCTTATGTGCAAGTGTTTATAATTTATTTTATTTTTAAATGGTTCATGTTTATTTGTGGTTCATTTTGGTTAAATTGTAAAGAGTTTTCCTTGAGCGCCATGGTGGTAAGTGGAAAAATGATTATTTTATTTTACTAATTTCTCTAAACATTCCATATGTTTGTTTACCAATATTTAAGTAACACAAATTTTTTTGGTAGCAGTAACATATTATTATTCCTCAACAATCTCTGGTTACTCTGATGAATAGTATGTGTATGTCACACAGCAGCTGAATTTGTATGTTCTGCTTTAATGTTTTACACTTGCAAAATTTAAAAATTGCATTGCCACCTCTTGATCCTCTGATGCTAAGCCCCTTGAGACTGGAAGATTGAATGGAGATCACAGATAATTATGATAACAGTTCAAATACTAGACCCATCTCTTATTGACGAAAGAGATACCTCACTTGTCAAGCATTCTTGCAAACAAGAGAAACATGCAGGTGGTAAATAAGGTGACAAATGGATGAGGTAGGGACACTACTGAAAATTCCATATTTTGCAATAATTGTTTTTATAGGAATTAAATGCCACTTCTGAGTTTTTCCCCCAATAGCTCATACATCTTAGGGTCCCTGATATTTGTCTAAGAGCTAACGGTAAAATGTTCTAAGTCACGCTCAAAAGTAGGACTTCATTATTTGTTTAAACTTAATTCTTTACACTCACCTCACTGCACCACACCTCACACAACCTTTTCTCATGCTTAGCTGAAATGTAGTTATTATTCAGGCTGCGAGTTACCCTAGACAGAACAGCCACTGTGCCATATATGTCAATGGCTGCATCTGCAAGACGTTTTAAGATGAACTGTTCCTCTGGTAAAAATATGAGATTTCAACATTAGAAAGGCATTTGTTCATATCCAGTTCAGAAGTTTAATACTCTGACATACAAACAATTATTGTTTATGTTTTACTTGATAATGGTCTAATAATCACCATGTGCCATGCTGAACAGCTCAGACAATCATGTTCCCCTACAAACATCTATCCTGTATTTTATTGTTAAGTTTGACTACTAATCATCTTCTTCACGACTCTGTCAATCTCCATCTTCTTCGTCTTCGCGTTCACCAGCTGTAAACTCTGGTTGCTCGTCCACTACTGAACTGCAGTCCTGCTTCAGAACCTGAGTGTTGCGTGTGCATCAGTTTTACAGACCTCATTCTCTTGAAAACAGACTGTTGGTTCCTTGCCTCTCCGGCAGATGCACTCCGACTTCAAAGGAAGCTCCCCAATTAGTCGACTCTTACGACATGCTTTTGGGGAGGCAGTGGGTCAATTATTGTTTTCCCCACAATGGGGCCCCGGAACCCACACGGGGGAACTCTGTCAATTAATTCACAATACAGTGGAACCTCAGTTCTTCAATTAATCTGTTCCTGAAGTATGGAGACTTAATTGTACAACATCCTAAACCATTTCATCTATAATCAATATTTAGTCATCATCATCATCATGTAGCAGGTCATTTGCAGAACGTCACTCTCATCAGTCTGCCTGAAAGAAACTCGGCCTCTTGCCAGCTCTTCTACCTCATGCACTTTCATACTCAAGGATTCACATCTGTATGTTCCTACAGGGAAGATCCATGCTCTCAAAAGTCTAATTTTGGTCTCCTTGCTGGTGCTTAATCATAGACTTTTAAGGCTGTTTAATCTTTGCAATGCTATGGCCATCCTCCTTTTGATTTCTGTCAAACAGTCTCCATTGCTATTTATGATAGAGCCTAGATATTCAAAGTTTGTGACATTTTCAATTTCTTCATCATTTATTTTTTTTTGGGTGGAAGCTAGTTTAATCTGTGGACATTATTTTCATTTTCTTTAAGTTCAAGAACAGATTTTGATCTTCACTGTGCTTTTGGACAGACTATTAAATTTTTGATTACTTTTACGCTGTTCTAAAGAAGAACTGTGAAATCTGCGTAGCGAAGTTCCGGAACAGGGTTGCCACCAAACTGTCACAAGTCTGGTCATTTTTGACATTTCTCATTATATTTTCTGCGTATATATTGAATATATATGGTGAGAGAATGCACCCCTGCCTCACTTCCTTTTGCACCTCGAACCAATCCGATGTTTTACCAGCTGCTCTGATGGCTGCTTGTTGTTCATGATAAAGATTTTCAATTAAATGCACTAAATGCGATAGAAACCCCAGATTTCTCCTAATAGTCCACAGTTTGTGGTGCTGGACACAATCAAATGCCTTGCTATAATCAATAAAACAAGCATAAAGATCTATGCTGTATTCACTGCATTTAAAAAAAATTATTCTCTTATTAAAGATGTGATCCTTAGTTCCTCTACCATGTCTGAAACCTGCTTGTGCTTCATGTAGCTCATATTGTAATTTCCTGTCAATCCTCTTCATGATATTCGTGAGAGGATTTTGCTAGCATGACTTACTAATGCAATGGTAAGGTCGTTGAAGCATAGTTTCAGATTTCCTTTCTTTGGGAAAGGGATATAGATTGTTTTTTTTCCATGCTTTAGGCCAAATGCCACTGTTTCAGAACTTCATGCACAGTGCATGGTAGATTCGGACATTGGCCTCTCCTCCTGCTTTATTATTTATTATTATTTAGTACAAAATGGAATAATCCATTCTGGAACAACAGACAATTACTTATTTAAAACTTTATAATTATACACCATTCATTATTAAACTGGATATAAAAGCAATGGGCATGCATGCAGAAAGAAACACGGTAAATAAATAAAATACAGACAACAATTTAACTTCACTTTATATATACTGACTCACATGATAACATCTCAGAAAAGAATGAAGAAGTAGCAGTCATCTTGGCAGACAGAGGGCAAGAAAAAAGAAATACATACCACACATCCAGTGGCTTGAGATTAGGATAAATGAGCTCTAACAGAAGTCTTTGTGGAGTGTGCCAAAGAAGTGAAGTATCAAACATTATACAATAGCAGCATTAGGAACGGATAAGTTCCTGCTGACGGGCTCCAGTTACCTCACACCTCTACTTAAATACGACGAGGAACACACCAGCATACATGGCTACAGGATTACTGCCATTCAAAAACATGATAGGTACAATCATTGAAAAGAACAGGGCAAACCATCCCAGATCTTGGAGGTGCAGTGGTTACTTCTGCCCACCCTTGGAGGAAATCAACCCAGGGAGGATTCTTAGACCAATGTCGCAGTGTTAGCTTTAAACACCTATGAGAACTTTCAAGCTGGCCCTGAAACAGCTGTCGCAGCAACTTATCTTGAGGGGGCGTACAACAGCGTTCCCTATGACCACCTCATGAGACTGATGATAAACATAAAAATTGATCTAACCCTGATCAACTGGACCAGCGGCACATTTTGTGAAAGAACCGCAGTGTTGCAGTGCGATACATTGATGTGGAAGCATTGGACCTTCATGCTAGTTACCTCAGGGGTCACCCTTGTTTTGTTGTATTTAATGTTACACAACAGGGGACACACGCATTCAGAATAATACGGGACTGAGGTGCACTATGTCGTGCTAATGATGTACTGATGTATAGGCAGGCGCAGAGAGAGAAGACAACTAAAGCTTGCAGCAAGAACTTGACAGGCTAACCAGATGGTGTGGGGAATCAGGAGCTAGAGTAGCTAAGGCTACAGTGACAAAGTTGTATAGAACAGTCTTCTTCAACCAATGGGCCAGAAAAGTCCAGATTGGCCACCAAAATTTTCTTCTCCAGGATTGTAGTCTTTAGGATTAAAATTTCAAGGATGAGAATCAAACGGGTACAAGTGTTATTCACCGAACAATGTCAGTGGTTAAAGACTTTAGCTGAAAACTTTGATAATTATTTCCCTGAAAATGAAGACCTCATTAGGGAACATTCTGAATAATAATCCCTTTTTAGAAGATTCAAAATCATGCGCCCCTAATTATCAGCAGATGTCACATAGCTGAAAATTCTAATTTCGTAACATTGGATATACCAGATAAACTGTCATACACATTTGTCTTTTGTTTCTGTTTGGTTAGGCGTTAGGTGGGCCATGAAACAATTTTCTCCGTTCTGATGGGCCTCGGGTGTAAAAAGTTGATAAGCTGGTCTAGATGCCCATGCATATTGTCAGCATGTGTGGAAATGATATCAAAAGGTCACTTGACCATAAACTTCTTGGTATTCCACTTCTGTGCTATGCTTCCTGCATAATCTGTCATTTTGATATCCTGGTGCTGATGTCATTATGAAAAGCAATAAAGACCTGACAGAAGCTCAGGGTGATGGTAGCAACAACCAGGATGGAACAAAGACTGCTGCTTATGCTTTACTGGAGTTTGGTTCTCTTAGTGACTAACTATGGACTTGGCAAACACCAGATGGAAAGAATGGAGAAAGTACTAAAACAAAGTCATGAGACTGACCTTCTGGTGTACAAGACATACCTCATGTTAGGCCATGCAATAAATCCTCAACCTGGCTGACACAGTCACTATAGTCACCAGATACAAGATAGCCCAGATGGAGGTATACCTAAGTGTTGCTGCTGATACAAAATACCCTCTGCACAGCTGCCTACAAGTGAACAAAGGTAAAAGCCTAAAGAGGGTCGGTCCTGGATAGTGGAAGCAGAGGATATGATTACATAAATTTGGCCAATGGAACATGTCAGGCTCAGCACTGAATAGATAGAAACACAAAAAAATGGCAAGAGTACATTGAGGTAATAATTTCCCTGGGCAGGTAGCTCAGAGAATGGAGTCATTGATGCAGAAATAAGGTTTCTTACTGACAAGCACACTCGACCAGGTGACATTATCATCTATACAGGCTAAGTGTTTTGTGAGGTGTGGTCCGGGGGGGGGGGGGGGGGGGCATATACAGCGTAGGTGAATGGGAAGACATCTAAAGAAGATAGGTCACCCCCTCAAAACAGGCACACGCACACATTTCTTCACAATGCTCTTTAGCAGTTACTTAACTAGCAGACTTCTGCACAAAGATACACATCATCATGCTTAAAGTGAATGATACTAACCAATGATTTTTTTATTGTGCTTGATGAGCAGGTCTTCAACAGTTCCACCAAAAGCATCTATTAATTTTGCTATCTGGAGACAGAAAAATTAGCTCCTGTTTAAACAGATCAAAAGTCTTTTTAAAAGATGATAGGAAAATATAATGAACAGTAGAGAATAAAAAAGGGTAAGAAGCCATAAAGTATATGACAACCTCCCAAAACCAATTACAATGACCAAACAGAGGACGTTGTGGCTATTATTCTTCATCAGCACCAAAAATACACACAAAAATATACTGACTGAAATGATACATTAAAATATTAGGTACAGGACTGAGACAGTTCAAGAGAACGAGCGTGCAGACTATCTTGCTGACACTGCCGTTGTTATGGTTGGTCCAGTACTGGACAGAAGTGATGTTATCAATTCCACGCGCTGCACTTACCGTACTGAGGAGCAAGCCAAAGGACATGACTCGGTATCCCTGTCTAGACTAATGGACATAGGGGTGTAGCCTGGAGCTGCAAGAAATGAACATTTCACTATGGGGACAAGATGTTTCATTAAACCAACACAGAACAGGCGTCATCAGTCGTTTTACACTTGTGGAGCTTTTAAGGAGGAGATCTGAGCACTTACGGATCTGTCCGGAATGCTGTCATGACAATCCTTTCTAATCACTAATCACTGAGACAGAATAATAATAAACTACAGCAGATCTGTACTTGAGGAATTATGTGGCCAATATCACACCTACAGCTTTTACCCAAGAAATTTCACTGTAGTTTGAAATTTCCTGTTTGCTTCCTTTAATACCCTAAAGTTATGACTGCATTGTGTCAATTAACAAAATCACTTTAATGGTAGGACTTTTGAGCCAACAGACCAACTTTCAGCACAGCATTATTAAGACAATGTTAACTCCTTTCTCCAAAAGATACTTTATGTTTTCTAATGTGGATAAGTTTTCTCACTTGAAAATTATCTTAGAATAATTGCCAATGAACTGCTAAAATGCAACATGTTAACAGACAGAGATAATGTGCAGAAGAGAAACATTGAGATATCATGGAAGTGATCATTTTCTCTGCAATATTCTGCTTAGTGGACGCCAGAACAGGCAGAAAGTCATGTCTATCAAGCATGTTAGCTGTGAGCAGTAAAAAACAAAAACAAAAAATAAAGCTTAACAAAACACAAGGATTCTGCTGTAAGCAATAAGAACAGAGTTATCTTGGTAGTGGAAAGAAGCATAGATGGCTGAGTGGAAGGCAATATAATGGTTTCCAGGAGCAATAAAAAATATACTAGGCAAAACTGGATTATCTCGTCAGTTAAAAAAAAAAAGAAGGCAACTAATATAAATGAATTTCTTTAACATTTTTTAGAAAAAGCAAAAGTAAGGAAATCAGCTGCATTTGGAAAGAAATCTGTAAAGCCAAGAAAATGACACTGTGACAAATAAGGTCTTTAGGCTAAATGTTACAGAATTTTCCACTTCTGTGCTATGCTTCCTGCATAATCTGTTCAACATAGGTATGAGCTTTATTGAACAACAAAACTACACAGCTAGAAAGAATGCCAGGAAAATTTATTCTTGATAAAGCTGGCTTTACGCAGCTTGTCTAGTGTTTACAAAATTAGTGGGTAGATTTTATGTTGACATACTTTTTTTTATGTCCACCAACAATAGCCCTTCATGGTCAGCAGTCTAATTAGAAATGACATAGTTTTAAAAGTGTCAATAAATTAAAATAAATGACATTTTGATCAGTTAGATGAATCTTACTTTTTCTCCTGAAGATGCCAGCTCTGGGTGTACATACTTGGACAATGAAACATTACCAGTAGAAATACCAACAAGTCTGTGGATAAATGGGAAAGAAAGTACAAACATGTCAAAGTAAAAGTACAAAAATATCTCAGATATTTACATCAAAGTCAATGAATTCCAAGAAATGAAATCAGCATCTGGAGGATTCTCAAGCTCTGTTCTCCTGCTGCACTTCTGTACCATTAACATTAATCCTTTATTTCTTCTTCTTCTTCACTTCCACCATTTACCTCAGCGAGGTGTTGGGAGGGGGGATGTAAGGATCAGTTGTGCACTTTTTCAATGCATTGTACAAGTTGGTGTTTATATCTGTTAGGTTGCTCCTGATGATGTCGCTCCATGTCTTGCGTGGTCTTCCCCTTGCTCTGTGTTCACTAATTTTCTTCAGCAAGGCTCTCTGTGGCAGTTGGCACCAGGGCATTCTCGTCAGGTGGCCAAACCATCTCACTTGTTCTTTAATGAACTGTATGACTGGTTTCAGCCCTAGTGTATTAATTTTTTCACTCCTAATTTTATCTCTTCTTGTCACACCGGCAGATCTTCTAAGATATCTCATCTCTAATGTTACAATCTTCCGCTCATTAGTTGTACTAAGGGTCCGTGTTTGGCACTGGTAGCACAATGTCGGCCAAAAAAATCATTCTAATGAGATTTGCTTCAGATGACAGAGGATCTTTCTATGGGTCAGAAGAGGTGTTAATTGTCCCATAACCTGATTTGCTTCCACATATCGTATGTTGATTTCTCTATCCATTCTTTCAACTAAAAACAGCTTTAACCCTTTCGCTGCTATATACCCCACAGTATGCCTGTACCATTATGCCAACAGGGTCAATGCCAACCATTCTACCTGTGCTAAAAACTTTTCTATCCTCCAAAAGCAAGAGATGTGTCGGTCGTGCAAGGTTATTTACAACTAAAGATATAAAACATAGGAAAGTACGTAGTTGGTCCTTATGCTCACAAATCACACACTATTGCAATATTTGAAAAAAAAAAAAAAACACTTTACAGAAGGGAAACACTAGAAACTAAATTTAACTGCCTGGCTTTGCCAGGTATAGTTAAAAGAAACTCTATCCCCTACTTCCCCTTCGTTTCCACCACTGTTGCATACATAGTTGAAACTCTACAGCAGAGCGAGTACAACAGGAGCACTCCGATCATCAGAACGAGTACCGCTTCATTAAAAGTTTGGCTTCTTAATCCCTAAGTATTCTTCTTCATGCTCACCAGCTGTAAACTCCGGCAGAATGTTCTGGTTGCTCAGCCACTTCTAGATGTTAGTCTTGTTCGGGAACCTGTGCGTTATACAGATCTGGCTTATTTGTATGCAAACTGTATAATTTCACACTTCTCACACAGACGCACTCTGACTTTGAAGAAAATATCCCTAATTAGTTGTGTCTTACTACAAGTTTGTTGGGGACAGTGGGCTGTTCTTCTTATCTCCTGCAGAACCCACACGGGCATGCTCCTCAGTGCATCTGAGGCTCTGACGGCCCCTGGCCTGTTCCACAGTCCTCCAAGTTCGACTGATGAATCTATACCACAATGAGTTTTTAAAAAAAGATCCAGGAGGCTCCTATCACTACGGCATGGGCAATGACAACAAATGTTTACACTTATCCCAGTATTCTTGCCAATCATGGAAGTACCTCTTGCAGGCACTGTCTATGATAATCCAGTTGTTTCAATGCATTGGTATGAATGTCTTCAGTATCATAGGTTAAGCAACTTTTCATTACTTTCAGCTGTGGGAATAGGGAGAAGCAGAGTTGATCTGAGCTAAGAACCAGTATCACAGAGCAAGGGATATTCCCAAACAAACTCCACCCCATCTTCAGCAGCCAGCACAGAGTTCCAGTTCTGACAGTATCAGTAGCAATCTGACAGTATATCCTTCCCGCCTTTCCTCTGAGTGCTGAGTGTCTGCCAGATTAACCGGTCACTCCAGAAGAAGTGACACAAGCAAGATCTGAAGAGTACAAAGCATGTGGAGGCAACAGAATGTTTTGATTAACTAAAGGTGTTTTTATACGGACATACTTCTGGACTGGGGTAACGTCAAGATGCAGAATCCAAATGCTGTTGTCACTTTTTGTAGTGATAGTCTGCTTTTATGTGGATCACCTTCAAAGAATTGAGTGCTACTTCAGAAACAGGAGTATCATTTAAATATCTAATCTACTTTGGCAGGACTCAACAAAAGATCCAGTTATTGTCCAAGGGAAAAAAAAATCAATCAATGTAAAATGGAGCTAGTTGCCGAATATTTATGTAATTCTGAAAATCCACACTGCAAGGTTACGTCTAAATATAGGCTTCCTCTCTGAACCTGCATAAAGACAACAAATTTCAAATTGGCATGAAGACTGGTAAATAACCACCACAGTTGAATTCATTGTCCTGTTGTGCCATTACACTGGCTTGCAGTTGATTCCTCCATTCTATTCTATCCTGTGCAATCAATTCAATATCATGGATGGAATTTACTCCAGCAGCTTTGGCCCATGCACAGTATTCATGTTACCTTGTTTACATACTACAGTTTGCCTGGAGAACATTCAGTCCTGCAATTGAATTATTACGTTTCAGGACAAAGAAGAAGTTTGTCCAACAGCAAATTTCTGATTAAAAAATAAATTCTAGTATTATTATTTATAAGATTTAGATTACTTATTGGCTGCCCAATATTGGTTTAATTTTCTTTGGATTCAAGGAATGTTCTTGTGGCTAATTGTAAAGATGTTCACAACAATGTGTTGACTAGCCTATGTACAATACCAAGGAATACAGATATTTTAATATCTAACCTCTTAGCCTTCTTGGCTCCAGCACCAACTAAAAGTCCCAAGTTGGCAGTCGGGTTGGACAGGGCCTTCTGAAGTTCTTTTAGTTGGCTGCCTGCATACTGAAAACATGATGTGTAATGTCATTTAGTCAGACCAGTAAAAAAAAATGTAGTTGATGTATGCTGTTTCAAAGGCTCCATTTCCATGACACTTTGATACTACTATCACAACATTGTCCATCTAACGTTCTGAAGAGACTAAAACAGCTACTACAGTATACAGCTGAACACCCCGGGAATCAGATTCAACAGTCCTGGTGAATGACCTAACAAAACTACTTTACTGACCGTCTCGCTAAATTCCTCATTCACAAAAGGACTATATAAAGATGACGACTTCTCTCCACCATAGTAAGGCTTGGCTCCATTGTTGTCGGAGACGAACATATACAAACGATGAAGATGAACTGGTGATTACTGAACTACTGTCCCTCTAATACCCCCAGAAACTCATTGATCTGCCTCCAAGGTGGTGTCACCGGTAGCCTTTCATAAACAATCAGTATCCTCTAGACAACTTAAGTTGCACAATATGCACACAGCAAGTCAGCCACGTCGAGGAATTCTACGATGACCGGCTGAACTCCCAAATCTGAGTCCCTCAGCACACAGCCGATAGCCGCCATCTACAAGGGTCACTCCTCGTAAGTAGAATCAGTTGTATTGTTTCAGTAGTGAACGCCGACACGCGCCGTCACCCAAGACAAGTTTTTCACAAAGGAGCACCTAGCTTAACTCTGCTCCTCTCTCCTCAACTATCTATTTCTTCACAAAGGAGCACACAGCTCAACTCCCTCCTCAACTATCTATTTTCTCATAAAGGAGCACACAGCTCAACTCCCTCCTCAACTATCTATTTCCTCACAAAGGAGCACACAGCTCAACTCCCTCCTCAACTATCTATTTCCTCATAAAGGAGCACACAGCTCAACTCCCTCCTCAACTATCTATTTCCTCACAAAGGAGCACACAGCTCAACTCCTTCCTCAACTATCTATTTCCTCACAAAGGAGCATACAGCTCAACTCTGTTCAACTCTCTCCTCAACTATCTATTTCTTCACAAAGGAACACACAGCTCAACTCCCTTTTCAACTATCTATTTCCTCACAAAAGAGCACACAGCTCAACTCTATCCTCAACTATCTATTTCCTCACAAAGGAGCACACAGCTCAACTCTGTTTAACTCTCTCCTCAACTATCTATTTCTTCACAAAGGAGCACACAGCTCAACTTCCTCCTCAACTATCTATTTCCTCACAAAGGAGCACACAGCTCAACTCTGTTCAACTCCCTCCTCAACTATCTATTTCCTCACAAAGGGGCACACAGCTCAACTCCCTCCTTAACTATCTATTTCCTCACAAAGGAGCACACAGCTCAACTCTGTTCAACTCTCTCCTCAACTATCTACTTCTTCACAAAGGAGCACACAGCTCAACTCCCTCCTTAACTATCTATTTCCTCACAAAGGAGCACACAGCTCAACTCTGTTAAACTCCCTCCTCAACTATCTATTTCCTCACAAAGGAGCACACAGCTCAACTCTCTCCTCAACTATCTATTTTCTCACAAAGGAGCACACAGCTCAACTCCCTCCTCAGCTATCTATTTCCTCACAAAGGAGCACACAGCTCAACTCTCTCCTTAACTATCTATTTCTTCACAAAGGAGCACACAGCTCAACTCCCTCCTCAACTATCTATTTCCTCGCAAAGGAGCACACAGCTCAACTCTGCTCAACTCTCTATTTCTTCACAAAGGAGCACACAGCTCAACTCTGCTCAACTCTCTATTTTCTTCACAAAGGAGCACACCGCTCAACTCCCTCCTCAACTATCTATTTCCTCACAAAGGAGCACACAGCTCAACTCTCTCCTCAACTATCTATTTCCTCACAAAGGAGCACACAGCTCAACTCTGTTCAACTCTCTCCTCAACTATCTATTTCTTCACAAAGGAACACACAGCTCAACTCCTTTTTCAACTTATCTATTTCCTCACAAAGGAGCACACAGCTAAACTCTGTTCAACTCCCTCCTCAACTATCTATTTCCTCACAAAGGAGCACACAGCTCAACTCTATCCTCAACTATCTATTTTCTCACAAAGGAGCACACAGCTCAACTCCCTCCTCAACTATCTATTTCCTCACAAAGGAGCACACAGCTCAACTCTGCTCAACTCTCTATTTCTTCACAAAGGAGCACACCGCTCAACTCCCTCCTCAACTATCTATTTCCTCACAAAGGTGCACACAGCTCAACTCTGCTCAACTCTCTCCTAAGCTTTCTATTTCCTCACAAAGGAGCACACAGCTCAACTCTGCTCAACTCTCTCCTCAGCTATCTATTTCCTCACAAAAGAGCACACAGCTCAACTCTCTACACAACTATATATACAAACATATCTCTGACTCTGCTCAAGTCTATACACTCAACTGGAGCATTCCGAATTATACACCAGATTCTACTGAACAGTCTAAGCTTTCACCAGAATAAAATAATACACATGATTACAACTAAAAATCACACATGTCCAAATTCTCCCATAGACTGGGGGCACTGACTGATTCAACTGCCACAGGTCTCTTTCCACCTGTGGTTACACGTGCATCTCTCATCTCGCCAACCCTCGGGGTTCTTCTTTTTTGCAATGAGGTGAAGATAGATTGTTTTTTTTTTCTTTCAACATCCAGCAAATCTTTTCTTTACCCTCTCCCCAAAGCAAAAATCAGGCACCATTCAGATAAATAGAATACTATTAACTCTTTGAGTCCCAGGGAACGCATCAAGCGCTAATTTGTTTTAGCATAGCGGCCCAATCAACGCGTGACAAGTGAAGGTTTTTAATCTACCACTGACCATTTGTAAAACGGCCAATTTAAACTTCCTTCCACATTCTTTGTGTCTGATATCAAGGGTGCTCATTTATAAACGTGGGCTGAATGCCGAAAATATAGTATATCTGCGAGATTCCCGAGTTACTAAGTGTTTGTTTGAAAAGAATATGGCCGCCAAGCACTATTCTACATGCATGCCAATGTGATTTAGGCCTTAGAAGCCCAAAATTTAAATAAAGTATGTGTTTTTGTTAGATTTATCCGAGGTTAGATAAATAACGTTGCAAATGTTTCAGTCATATATAGAATCAAACTTTGATGAGGCATATGTCTCATGTGTACCTCACGCGAAGGGTACACAAACTGAGGACAATTACACAATTTTCAGAAGATAGCCTCTTTAACCAACTCCTCTGTACACTTTGGGTCTCATGCAGCACAAGAGGTCTGGAGCCTTATGGTGTCCGGTTCAGTCAGTGGATAGGAACAACTGCGGAAGTTCTGGTGGACAAATCTCCTTTATATCAACAGTTTCCTAAGTGCTGAGAAAATGTGAATAGGTCATACCTGGCCAGTAATATGCAGTTCTTCCTTGTGAGCCCTTTGATAATCATCCCATTCTACTTCAATGGTATTATCGGTGTGGCTATCTATGTGTGTTTCCTGCTCACCAGTTGGATCACGATTGGTGTTCTTTCGACCCAGAATCAGTGGCCAGCCACCTTAGTCAGCGAAAATACTGCAAATGATAACTTGAACATATCACTCTTGCTCCAAGACTATTAGATCAAGCCGTGGGGCCGCATCGGAACTTACACTGTGGTCGTCTCGGCTGGCTACTGTCTGTAAGTCACTGGATGCAGGGTCAAAATGAGATGGGATGTAGCTGTGTCTCGGCTTGATGGTCCCAAAGGTCATCGCTCTGGCAGCTGTTGACGACCTCTGTGTTGACATCAGTGGGGAAAATGTCAACAGTGTTGATACGGCTACATTTTACAACGCTGTGGAATCTGTGGAACCTGGGTCGTCACTGCCTGTGTCTCGGGTAACGGAGACTTCATCAACAGCATCTTGTCCTGGTCGTCGTTTGTTGTACCTTTTGTACATACACTACGAGATCGGAGGTGGCTCTACTACATCAAGGATGCCAGCATTGTTGTCCCATTCTGTGAAATCGTAGTCCTAACATGACTGCCTTCATCCTGATGCTGGCTTTTGAATATCCCTGGATTGGCCTGGAGAAAATCTTCCTCAATAAGAAATTGAAGAACCAGAACAGTTAGACAGGAAAATGCAATATTGCTTTTAATTCTTTGTGCCTTCTTCTGCTGTCCTTTGTCCATGTTAGAACATACACCCTCAGTCTACTCAAGCGGGGTTGTTCAGTTAACTGTCGTCATCTGCAGATCCTACCACTCTGCCCCAATATTATTATTAATCTCTTTAATTATTTCCTTTTTGTATTTTCAGCTTTCCTTTTTAAGTTTTATCCCTTCAGATTTGCATTCTGCAGGAGTAACAAAGGTGTGGGCCAAGGTACAAATCCCGGAAACACAGTTCGGCCATATAGAACAGTTATATATGGCCACCACAAAAGGGTTATAATGTAACATGTAGTCCAGTGTGGGTGGATTTTTGTGACATGGGTTTTTAGATGGTTCCTTTCCTTTTTATACTGTATAACTTTTCTCCCCCTCCCTTTCTTCTCTCCCTTTCCTCTTCACTACCCCCACCTCTCTCTCTCTTTCTCTCCCCCTCCCTCCCTCCCTCCCTCCCCCTCTCTCTCTCTCTCTCTCTCTCTCTCTCTCTCTCTCTCTCTCTCTCTCTCTCTCTCTCTCTCTCTCTCTCTCTCTCTCTCTCTCTCTCTCCCCCTCTCTCTCTCTCTCTGTTTGTCATTTCCAGCATCAGTATGTTCCTCACCTCATGTTATCTAGAATTTGCTAGTTCTCTCAAGCTTCACTTTAGTGATTCTGTCCTACCATTGTCATTTTTTAGTTCTGCTTAGGTACCATTTAATGAACATTCGCAGTAGATTTTGATCAGTGATTTTTCTGCCACATGACAATGTTTATGCGTTTTATTCAGTATCAGAATGATTTCGGTAATGTCAGTTCGCAACTCAGCTCAACTTTTACCTCCACAAAATTGCATCATTAGTTTTGTGCACAAGGATCAGTGATCCAGGGCTGTATATGTCCAATCTCTCTCACAGTGGAGC